CCGTTATAGGAACCCGCATTATAGGGGGTCTACTGTATATTATGCAAATGTCAATTAATGCAGTTTTTATTAATTAATTCAATTTAAATTGAATTGTGATGCATATTGAAAATCAGTAGTAGTATCTCTTATATATGCATTGAAATCTAATTTAAATAATAATGTCATCAGTGGTTCAGGTTGTGATGTCTAATGATGAGAACTGAATGTCGATGCTACTACTGAATTGGTAGTCCTGTTGATTGGTTGGGTCATCATCTTTCTTTAACAAAGAAAATATAGGTTGTTTACCATTGGTGACTGGCTCTGCCGAGTAGCTTGTTCAGAAATCAAATTATCGTACAGTATGTAAACTGGAGCAAATATGGCATTCAAAATTTTGTTCATAAACCAAATTGTTTGTAAACAGCATTCATAACCCAAGGTTTGACTGTATTTAAGTATCTAAATTAAATTAATAGTTCTGGAAGCAAAGATTGGACAGAGGTCCTGGTAGTATAATTGGCAACGTGACCATGTGGTAAGTGGAAGTTGCAGGTTCAAGTTGTACTTTAGTTCAATTCTTTTCTTCCAGAATCTTCTAAATTAATTATTAAAATATAAATTTAATTATAATTGTAAAGTACTATATTATTTTTTCCGACTTTCCAACGATTATCGACACTACTGTGTGCCGGAAATAGCCGTTCCCTAACGGGTACTTTACGCGGATTCGCGTTAGTGTGCCAGGCCTGGACTTTAAGCGTGCACCGAATTAAATAATGACAAAGTTTGTCAATAACAAAAATCAAATATTTAATTAAACTTCTATTAATAAACTCTATACAGTATTTAGTAAAAATCAAACAATAATTTATTCAATGAAACTCAACAAGAATCAATCCGACAAACTCAAATCAATCTATTTCTAACTTAATTCTATTCCCCTTTGGAATTCGACAAAATCAAAGAATTAACTTATAAACAATAATTCTTATAAATTAAAGATCCTAATCGTCACCTCAATATACTAGGAACCTATTTCCTCAA